TGTGTGTGTGTGTGTGTGTGTGCGTGTGTGTGTGCGTGTGTGTGTGTGTGTGTGTGTGCGTGTGTGTGTGCGTGTGTGTGTGCGTGTGTGTGTATGTGTGTGTGTGCGTGCGTTCCTGTGTGCGAGCGTGCGTAGTTGCATACGTGCGTGTGTGCGTGCGTTCCTGTGTGCGAGCGTGCGTACGTGCGCTCACGCGTGCGTGTGTGCATACGTACGTGCTTTCCTGTGTGCGAGTGTGCGTGTGTGTGCGTGCGTGCGTGCGTGCGTGCGTGCGTGCGTGCTTTCCTGTGAGAATGTAGGGACCCAGTAACTAAACGTTCGTTATTCGCGGAGAAAAACAACAGTGAACTGCAAGCATAGTTAGAATATTCTAGGGTAAATAAGGGGTCTACATTTTCGCAAAACAGTAAACTACAGAATATTGAACTATAAACTACACTATACTGACCTAGAACTACACTATATTGAAAATGGTGGCCACGATAATTATTATAACAACCACCAGTACGTAATACGCCGGGAGGGACAACTGGAAATGTGAAAACTCTGTAGTGTGATGAAGTGAACAAAACAGTACTAGGTGAACTTTGGTGATTTCTTATATTATTAGCATTCATAACTCATAAATTGCTAGAAATAATCTAGCTATGTATAAGATTACGATAGTGATACAGGTAGTGTCCTTAAGCTTGTTTTAACGGTATGAAATACGGAAATAGAATGCTGCGTAAACGAATTTAAATCGTTAAACACGTGTGAAGTTAGGCTGGCGAAGCGTAATCACCTCTGAATGCAGGCAATGCAACGCAGTGTGGGCAGGAATTTTCACTTATAGTTTTACTTTTAGCATTACGGGTAACGATACGTACTGGTGGTTGATATATAATACCCACCATTGAGAATGGGAGCCGTAAGCGTTGAATAGAACAAAAATGTAGGTGAATACACACTTACGAGAGACTGGAGATGTGTAATAATAATACACCAAATTTTGCCGGCAATAGCTGTTTGTGTAAAGGCAATGCAATATCGAGTAATAATATAGCAACACACTTTTACTATATAGATAGACTAGAAATTCTCTAAGGGCATACGACATTATCTGTAATTTAATCGTATTCGCAAATTATCTATAACCATGTCCAATGTAGACAGAATAGAATCCAGATATTCTATGGGTCTGAGTATATAGAGATAATGATGAAGTGTAGTGATATGTTAGCAGCAAATGCGAAACAACAACACAGCCGTATTACCGATTACGAAAACATGATATTAAGATTACGTAATTATCGTAGAGGACTGTAGACGTAGTAGCAGCGATTTCGAAATGTAACCTCGGCCGATTATTGGCTCGACGTAGCGCTGCTATTATATGAGCGGAATCTGATCATATGATGACACGCGGTAAACGGCGATAACCTTTCATTTGCGTGGGTTTGAAAGAAAGCGTTATTGTCGTTGTTTTCGTGTACTAACGAAAATTAAAGTTGGTTGTCATGGCAACAATAACACGTCCGCCGACGGCACGAAACTATTGCCAGAAAGGTTTACACGGGATAATGCAACAGTCACGTGAAATACAGAATTAAAAAAATTAAGATAATTGCCGAGATTTAGAAGAAAATGTCTGACGATTGATACCTACGGTGGCAAACGGAGGTATTACTATATCCACCCCCTCCACGCACACAGACTCACACACACACACACACACACACACACACACACACACACACACACACACACACACACACACACACACACACACACACACAGGGAGAGAGATGAACGATAGCATTATTGTAGGAACTTGTTGCGAGTTTATTTCGTTGCATCGAGCGATTCCCTCGTCGCCTAGCAGCAGCAGCAGTAGCAGCAGTATCAGCAGCAGCAGCAGCAGCAGCAGCAGCAGTAGCAGCAGTAGCAGTAGCAGCAGCAGCAGCAGCAGCAGCAGGCATCAGGTCCACGCACACTGCCGCATACCTCCGCTATCATTCTCACCGATTACAGTACTAACGTTCTGGAACAACGACAAACATGATCAATGGCTAGCACATCTTGTTTCCCGCAGCAAAACCTAATTAGTGCTAGCAAATGATTTCGAGCAATACGATGTCACCTCACACACAATTACATGCGCGCGGACACACGCTCTCACGCATACACACACACGCAGACACACACACACCCACACACACACACACACACACACACACACACACACACACACACACACACACACACACACACACACACACACACACACACTGCGTGATTTGCTATGCCGTTGGCGTTGTTAGTGTTGCTGCGGTGTGTACCCGTGACATCGCATCGTTAATACATCCTTGCTGCCCGCGTTAGCTGGACGAGCATTATTAGTTATTAGGATCGACTAGATCTTAACAATGACCGAAGGCCACAAATGAGATTGTCAGATGAACGAAGATAAGGTAATTACGAAGTCTGTTTATTGTATGCGATTATGTATCTAATCACCGTATACTATCAATATGATATATATATTATATATGGTATATATATAGGTATATATATACTATAATATATATATAGTATATATCAGGAGTTAACTTCGAAGACAAAGTTGTTCTGAGGTTTTGAATGAAGTTGTCAAAGACGACAAGAATGACAAGAATGAACGAGACAATGAACAAGAATGTCCGATCTGAATGGACAAGAAGATGAAGTTTTGTCTTCATTAACTCGCTGATCTAGTATAATATATGATACTATATATACTATTATGTATTATATATATATATATACATCACGGGGTTAATGATAACAATCTTTTTTCATTATTAACCCCTGATACACACACCGGAGCGGGTTTGGCATGCTGGTGGATTGGGGGGAGCGGGGCCGGATATATATGTATATATTTACGTCATATGTATGTATATCATATATTCAGGAGCTATAATGAACAAATTTGTCCTTATTAACTGCCTGATATATATATATATATATATATATATATTCAGACAGCGCACGTGATTTGGCTATGTAGTTATCGGCCACGCATTCTGGTACACGTACAGTTCCTGGAACAGGTAGATTTAGCTATTTTCAAAACTCACCAGTCCTACAGGAATGTTAATAATAAGATTTAATGTCTACGCCTGCTGAATCCTGAGAGCAATGTTGTGGCAATGATGACTAGGCTGCGCCTACTGTCATATTCTCAGAAGTTACTTGTTTTTATTCACTCCTGATGTTATTATGTTGATTGATGACGACGTTAGCTTCGCAGCGTACGTAAAATGAACTCTCTCTCCCTCTCCCTTTCCCTCCCCATCTCTTTCTCTTTCTCTTTCTCTTTCTCTCTCTCTCTGTGATGGTGGTGTGTGTGTGTGTGTGTGTGTGTGTGTGTGTGTGTGTGTGTGTGTGTGTGTGTGTGTGTGTGTGTGTGTGTGTGTGTGTGTGTGTGTGTGTGTGTGNGTATATTCTAAGCTGGCGCGTGTTATTTCTAAGCGGGCGGCGGTGTATTTCTAAGTGAGCGCGTGATATTACATTGACCACCAGAGCGTGTTTGTCTGACCGATGGTGTTTCACCGGCTGTTGCATTCGTTGTTAAGTACAAATGTGGTTAGCACACACACACACACACACCACACACACACACACACCCACACACACACACACACACACACACACACACACACACACACACACACACACCACACACAACACACACACACATACACACACACACACACACACACACACACACACAACACACCCAAACACACACACACACACACACGACTACACGCACACGCGCGCTGCGCACACTTGCACACATACAAGCGCGTTGCGCGCGCGCACTCGCACACAGCACACCCACACACACACAAACACACACACCAACAACACCACATCACACACACACACACACACGCACACGCGCGCGCGCGCACACTTGCACACATACAACGGCGGGCGCGCACTGTACACACAACATCACTACCTACACACACACACACAACACACATACACACACACACACCACACTACACACACACACACACGCACACACACAAGCACATCACACACAACCATACAACGCACGCGCTGAGAAATACACGCGCGCGCTGAGAAATACACGCGCGCGCTGAGAAATACACGCGCGCGCTGAGAAATACACGCACGCGCTGAGAAATACACGCACCGGTTGAGAAATACACGCACAGGTTGAGAAATACACGCACCAGCTTAGAAATACACGCGCCGGTTGAGAAATACACGCGCGCGCTGAGAAATACACGCGCGCGCTGAGAAATACACGCGCGCGCTGATAAATACACGCACGCGCTGAGAAATACACGCACGCGCTGAGAAATACACGCACGCGCTGAGAAATACACGCGCGCGCTGAGAAATACACGCACGCGCTGAGAAATACACGCGCCAGCTTAGAAATACACGCGCCAGCTTAGAAATACACGCGCCAGCTTAGAAATACACGCACAGGNGGTTAAAAAAATTATTTCAAAGCGCGGCAAGTGCTTTGTACGTGTTTTAATGGATGCTCGCTTATCGAATTAGAGTTTCCTCTCGACTATGTGATCTCGCCTATATATGTTGTCCATATACGCGAATATTCGTCGAGATAGAAAACAGTGTTATAACCCTAAACTATACGATATTACATATGCTAACCAGAACAGCTCGTCTAATAACTATTTTTAAGTTTAATAACTCGTAATGTTTAGAAATAATACTTCACAGATGCATAGCAGTTGCATTTGGGCCGTTTAAATAATAAAACGTTAATAAATAAACACGAATTGTATTTACTACCAAATTTGTATTGATTACCTACTCGATCTCTTTCGCCTATTATTAGTAATAATTCTATAGAAATGGCCTTCCAATGCCCCTGTGCAACAAACGTCACCGCACGCACGCCGCTGTGCATATAAACCCTTGTTGTATGGTAACCCTACCAAAACGTTGAATTATTGTAAATAATGCGTTTTTGATAAACGTTTTATAGTAACCTAACGTTCAGCGAACTTTAACAAAACGTTCGTTAGCAACGTTTTGCGAAAAAACACGTTTTCAAACTAAATAATAATATAACCAATTCCTAACGTTGCGGAAGCGTTGTGTTTTAATTGGGTACAGCTATTCGCTTGAATGACATTTCTATAACTCGGTATTAATAATTATTTTTATCCGATCATTAGTATGTGTGTGTGTGTGTGTGTGTGTGTGTGTGTGTGTGTGTGTGTGTGTGTGTGTGTGTGTGTGTGTGTGTGTGTGTGTGTGTGTGTGTGTGTGTGTGTGTGTGTGTGTGTGTGTGTGTGTGTGTGTGTGTGTGTGTGTGTGTGTGTGTGTGTNACCCCGCGCGCTAGCTACGGCACCGACGTTGGCTCAGTTCTCGACCGACGATTCTCTCGTGGGGCGACGCGATTTTTACAACATGGTGACGTTCTCCTCGCTGCCGACGACGACGACGCTGGCCGCCTTCTTGCCGCCGCCGACGCCGCCGACGCCGCCGCCGCCGCCGCCGCCGCCGCCGTCGGCGTGGTACGCGTAGTGGTGGTTGGTGAACGTCTGCGCTGTTGGGTATCGCATCACCGTGCTGCGCATGCTGCTGTTGTTGCCGCCGCAGCTACTGTTGAACTGCCACGTGCGCGCGCCGCTTCTCGGCGGAGCGCGTCGGCAGCGCAGCGACGAGCGCAGCACGAAGGCGAACGCCTTGCGAAATTTCGTCGACATGACGTTGTAGACGATCGGATTGATGCTGCTGTTCAGAAAGAACATGACGCGCACGAAGCACATGATGTTGAGATACGTCTCGAGCCCAATCGCCTTGATGTCGGCCGGCGACGCGTAGACGAGCCACAGCGAGACGACGCGGAACGGCAGCAGGCACAGGAAGAAGCAGATGACGACGGCGAAGAGCATGAGCACCACCTGGCGGCGCGCGCGGTGATTGAACTCCGAGCAGGGGTCGTTCTTCGTGCCGACGACCGCGCCGTCGCTCATCAGCGTTCGGCTGATCATCGAGTAGAGCACGATGAGCGCCGCCAGAGGGAACGGCAGGCAGAGGCACCAGACGAAGATGAAGTAGCCGCGCTCCCAGTTGCGCTGGAATGAAGTCACGCACGTCTTCACCGTGCTGCCGTCGGCGTACTCCGTGTCACTGTAGTCCGTCACGAGCGCGAAGGGTACGCACAGCGACGACGCCGCCACCCAGATGACGGCGATCGCCTTGAGCGTCCGCATGCGCGTGCACGTGTACTGCGCCTTCAGCGGCCAGCGGATGGCGTACCAGCGTTCGAGGCTGATGGCGAGGATCGTGAAGACGGAGCCGGCGGCGACCGTGTTCTCCAGGAACGGCACGATCTTACCTGCGAAGTCAACGAGTGCACGTTCGTCAGTGTTAGCAGGCGGAGGGCAGTCGCATTATACGCGCGCGCAGTTACGTCGTTTGGTAGGAAACGGCATAGGAGATCACGTGTGTGTGCGTGTGTGTGTTTGTGCGTGTGTGTGTGTGTGTGTGCGTGCGTGCGCGCCCGTGTGTGAAAGAGAATTTATACGTGCGTCCGTGCGTTCGAGCGTGTGCGTACTCGTGTGCACCTAACCCTTCGTTTGTATCGTCTTACTGTAAACCGCAAACTGTATTCAGCCACGTCTTGCTTTATATGGTCGTGGCCATATGTCCTGTAGCAGTGTGAATCCTGTCTCGTGTTAGGATTGCTACACTGGTTCCCACAGTGCGCTATTCATACATCCATTTCAATCTGTGCTGTTTGTGTAGGCGCGAAGCCATATGGCGCACATTTTCTCGCTTTCTTCTCGGAAATTTACGTGTGCAGTAAAAGTCTATAGAAAGGCCTGGATTCTTTTAACAATTAGAACACGTCACACATCAGTCAACGATTCACCAAGCTTGTCAGATTCTTTGCTATTCTTCACTTGCAATGGGGAGATTATTAGATTGAAAGCTAACAGATCTATACGCCGTGAATCCATCCAAATGAGAAGTTATGTTACGTGGCAGCTGTTTACATTCTTCACGCGCCAGGCTCTGCGAGGATCGACAATGTGAGCTTAAAAACGAAGTACGAAGCACGGAAGACGTTTTTCTTTACTCAGATTAAATAGCATCTACTATACTTTATTCAGTTCTGTACACTTATACAAGAAATACAATGACTCCTTCGCTACGACACGGACATCCGTTAAACACGGTGACTTCCGCTATTAGTGCGACGAACAAAAGCAAAGCCAATCAATTGATTAATACACGCATCGCGGATGAAATATAAGTTACGATTAAAAAAAGCGCACGTACCGTCGTTAGACGCATTGACAGAATAAAGGAGCACGCGCTCAAATGCTCGCACGCACACCTATACGTCCGTATACATAGGTATTTGCCCGGCCGGGTTGGAAATGGCGATGTTCTGACATTTCTGCGTTTTTGCGCATATTTGCCCGTTGGTAATGGTTGTTCGTTATCGCCTCGGTTTATGTATAGTCGCACCAACGCTACGATCACACGCATCGCTGTCACATCGGCAACAAGCGCGTGATGCGACACCGTAAGCCGTCCTGTAACGTGTCCGCGTTGAAACAAGTATCTACGGATCACTGTTTGAAATGCTGAAGTAATCGGTTGGAGTATGCTGAGAATCTTGCTCCTCTACTCGTAACGGGGATGACCGGCGTGTCGCCACGGGCGTCTTCGGCAATGTTTGACACGTATAGGGGTCGCTGGAATAGTCGGATGTTTGGCCACGGCCAGGCCCGGACCAATCATCTGGTTGTATGTTCTGGTCGAATCACTGATCCACGTCATGATCGAACTGATCCTGCTGGATAAACGGAACAGGGCAAATCCAATATGGCGACGAAATCAGCCAATCAGCGCTAGTCGATGGTTATCAGGCATTCGGCAATAGGTGACAAATGTTACACCGTCACACGCGCGAGAAGCGCTGCCGAGCTCGTTTGGTCGGGTTGACGTCACGGTCACGGTCACGGTCACGCCAGGAAGATACGACACGTACCTCACGTACGTGT